ATTCCTGCTACGTTTGATTGGTCTCGTTTATCTTCACCACCAGAGAGAGAATAGCATCTTCCAGGACAAAGTGTGATGAATTTGACTGTACGTTGCTGTTCCTATTAACAATTTCCCAGACTTTTCCTGTTTGGATCTTTATCAGATTTGCAAGATTCATTACTAAGCAGCAGTATATCCTCAGGCTGGAAAGTTAATCACTAATAGCAGATTGTACTCACTGTAAATGTCTGTGGGACCTTCACCCACTTCGGTTACTAAAAGCCTTTTATTTTCTCTGATTTTGTTTGTCATCACTCCCCAGTCAAATACATTTTACAGAATTAAAGCTTTAAAATAATAAATCTACAAGAATATACTACATCCTTACTATGGAACAAAAAAAAACAGTTTAAAAAAAATCATATGGGGAAAATGTAATCAATAAATACTATGCATTTGGGGTGACTTGTTTACTCCAGTTATACCTGAACTCCCACTGTGGCACTTCTGCCCTGTGTTTTAGTTCAATAATTCCACGACTGACACTGCTTCCTGCCTTGTGCCTGACCCTGTATGGCTAATGTGTCCTTTGTGACCATGAGTACCCATAACGAGCATGTGCTCAAGCTTTTGCTGAACTGAGGCACTAATGATTTTGCCAAAGGTCGTTGGTCACAGATAAATTATTAGTGACAGACAGATGTGCATGTCACAGTCCACAGCTTAAATTCCAGATCCACACAAAATCTCCCACTGGCATCCAGAGGGCACAAATTCCCCCTCTGTGTCATAAGAGTCAGTGCACACACTTGGCAGCATAAGCACTGGGGAAAGGGAAGCTCTGCTGTTCTTTTCAGTTCTCCACTGGAAATAGCAAGCAAGTGTGAAAGGTATACACAGGTATACACGGATACACACACATGCATCTCGTGTGGGAGATGCAGGATGTGGGATGTCTTCTCCCTGGGCGACACTGCTTAAAGGGCAACAAGAAGGAGTTACAGAAAGTCCAAAGGCATTTCATGGAAAGTAATACTGTTCTGTTGGATTTCAGTAGCCCTCTCTAGACTGCTGCATCTATTCAACCCATAATTATAGCTATTTAGTGCAATTACATTAGTAGTTAGAAATGAATAATTTACAGAAATAGGTCTTTTTGTAAATCTTCGAAGAATTTCTACATTCTTGTATAATTTCTACTACTATTTGCATAGCTGTTATGTCACTTGGATGATATCCAATATGAACCTTTTTAAAAAAATTATTTCCTGAGGACTGATCCAAATCAGTGTATCTAGTCTGCAATTCCAATCCAAGGTCTTTGGGTCTTTAAGGCAATAATGTCACTCTCAGAAGATCTTTTTGCTCTTCAAGACTCCGTATGGCTCTCCAGTGCTTTTCATCTTGGTTTTCTCTGTCTTCCCTTTCCTGAGAACTGTGGCCTTTTTTTCTGGGATGCCATTAGCCACATTGCATGGGAAGAGCGTGGCCAGGCACACGTGCATTGGGACGCAGAAGAGAAGCTGGCTGGGAGCCCAAGGCATGAGTCAGCTGCTGCTGCCCTGCCCGGTGGCACTGGCTGTATTCAGTGCAGCTTCTCTAATGTGTGGTCCTCCAGGCTGTCCTTGCACATATGAGGATATTTGAACACTGCTTAAGTGGCAGAGTTAAAAGGTCAAAACGTTGAGAAGTTGGGTCCTTTGCGAGGGATTTGGTCTGGCTGCACAGCTGGAACATATATTTCTGTGTGGGTCCCTAAAAGGACAGCCTAAGGGTAGACTCCCTTTTAAAAAATCCTCTTACTGTACATCCCTAGCAATTTCAGTGGTCCAATACCCAACAAATGAGGAATTCAAAGTCCCTACAATGAATGCCTCAACTAGGACCTCAGGTGAGTTAATGATGAAGCACAAGAATGTTCACTCCAGCTCACCTAAGGATGCTTTGCTCTCAGCTGGATTTTCCTGTCTCTGTAGAGCAGATCATCTTCAGTGCTCTGCTGCTAATTTCCAGGTTAAAACCAAACAAGCACTGGGTAGGATGATTACTGTTTAACTCTGATCAGTGACATGGTCTACAGTCTTGCTCCAAGAACCATTCATGGAACAACCATTCAGCACAGCAGAAGCTACGCGTGGCAAGAGGAACAAGCAGCTGGTGGAGATGGGGATGCTCTGCAAGCCAGCAATGCCCTTGAAGGTAACATTTGGTGGAAATCTACCTCCAGTGACATGCCATTCTATTTCTTTTTAAGCATATGCAAATTGTCACGGCCTAAGAAAATATAATTAATTTCTGTTAGTGAAGTATTCATAACTCCTCTGTATTGCAGGGCACTAAAGAGTCATCGTACAGCGTATCAAGTGCTTAGGTGTGATCATTAAGATATCAGCAATTTTTTACATACTAACCTGGCCAGTAGTACATGGAAACGTTCTTTTTTTCTTTCATCATTGTGACCCACAAAGGCTCTGATCCATTCCACCAGAGAGGCAGCAGGCTTTCTTTATTCACACCAATATCAAAAGACACATTTGTCTTTTGGTCCCACATGTAGTTTCCAATCATCTGATGAACCTCACAGTGGCGACCTTCAGGGATGAGGAAAAAAAACAACAACAACAAAACACAGTCAGATTGGTGTTCTCCAGCAGAAGATACCACCAGCTCATCCAGCAAACCAGTTGTACAGCTCAGATTTGAACTCATACAATCTCGACTCTGTCACCTTTTATTGAGGTCCTCCAGGTAGCAGTCTCTGTCCCCCAATTCAGCCACTTAAAAGTTAGTGGCTGAAACTCAGGTCAGCCACCTGTGTTCCCTTCACAGCCAATAGAGAAGAGGCACCTCTAGAAAGCAATTAATGCCATCCTAAGAGAGGCATCTAAAGTATCTGGGGGGAGTTATCATCTGGAGGTGCATATTGCCCTCTATTGATTATAGAGAAAGATCACATCATTAGCTTGCCTTGAGACAGCCAACTTTTAGACAGCTGAGGCTGGAAGAAACAAAGCCTGCACCCTGTGGCCTGCTCAACATTCCATGCACACAAACCATGGCAGTGGCAGCCCATGCAGGTGACACGTTTGGCTGACATCTGGCTCCTTCTATGAACACAACATCTACCATGTCTGAGACCATTCTAAGGTACCCACCAGTGCACAGGACCAGAGGGCTGCAGGAAGCAGTCTGTGAATGGGAAGGGATAAGAGCATAGTCTGGAACCACGGAATAATGTTTGGGAAACTCACTATTCCCCTCTGCTTTATCCAAAGGGCACATAATTTTTCCACAAGAGAAAGAGAAGAGAAGCTGCTGTATTTGAAGGGTGAAGTAACAAAAATGGGAAAAGAAATTTTGAAGATTAAGATGTAACAGGAGTTCATAATTTCCATATCTTAAAAAACAACAACTGATATATGTGTCTGGTTCTGGAGCCCTCAACACAGGAAGGACATGGAGCTCTTGGAGAGGGTCCAGAGAAGGGCCACCAAGATGATCAAAGGCCTGGAGCACTTCTGCTATGAAGACAGGCTGAGAGAACTGGGGCCGTTCAGCCTGGAGAAGAGAAGGCTCTGAGGAGACCTTAGAGCAGCCTTCCAGTACCTGAAGAGGCTACAGGAAAGCTGGGGAGGGACTGTTAACAAGGGTGTATAGTTAGAGGGCTGGAAGTAGACAATCTTGAAGGTCCCTTCCAACCCTAGCCATTCTGTGATTCTATGAGTGAGACATTGTCATCATTAGCTGGCGAGTCACGATATTCCGAGGATCCAGATAACAGGCTTTGGTTATTATAAGACTGAGCATGGGGATCAGAACTGAAATAAACTTGGTATGCTTGTTTGGAAAAGGCATTATTTTGAGCAGAGGACTCTGTATACTTTGGGCACATGTGATCTTTAAATGGATTTTGAACTCTCCTTCCCTCCTACAAAGCATTTCAATTATGTAAAACATTTCCTCCTCTCCAGTGCAGAAAAACAGGCCCAATTTGTGACAGTCACTATTCACCATATTAAACCAAACAGGTTTACTACTGGAAAACTGGGGGATTGTATGGGCAGTAATCTGTCCTCCTTAGGCTGCCACATGCTTTCTTCTTTCTTAGTCTAAAAAGAGCTAGAAAGAAGCCTTTAGAGTCCAACAAAACCACAGCCTTCCTACTTAGAGGACAATCTCATCTCTTCAGCTTATTGAAGTCCAGGTGCTCTTGAGCATGTCTAAACCTAGGAAACTTCAAGCAGGCAACTGATTCCAGTCTGTGAAACCTGCAGGTCGGTGCTGAAGCTGTTAGGTCACATATTTGTATGACATACAGTGTGGTCTTCATTACAGAAACAATGAGCTCCCACTGCTGCTGCTGTGAGCTCCCCAGAGGATTTAAGGTCTGCTGCCAGTTTGCTTACCTTTTTAAGGAACAGAATAGAGATTGTTATTTGTAGTGTTGTTGGGAAGTGTAATTAACTAATACAGAGGGCACTCATATGGGCACTAATACAGAGGACAGTATTCTTCTGATCACCATATCAGAAAAGTTCATTCTTCCATGGACTCCAACTCTCTTTTTTACAGTTTTACAAAAACTTCAGTTTTTGTTGCAGACATCCCTGGTACACAGGGCCAGAAGGGAACAGCAGATGAGCAGACAGACCAAAAGACACAACCATTTAATGCTGCCTGGAGCCATTTACATCTGCTTGCCTGAAGACTATGTCTCAGAAAGACCCTGGATCTCCTTTGAAGACATCACTACCAACTAATCAATCTCTTCCTTGGGTTGCTCATCCCAGTATTTATCACCAGTAAACACTCCTCAAAAATAATGCCGGGCCTCTAATTTTATTTCTGACCTTTGTTAATCTTCAACCATGGCTATATTGTGCCTTGCTCACTAGATTAAGAAGTCCTGCAATAGCTGGCATTTCTTCACCTCAAATGCACTCATGTGCAGAATTAAGGTCACTTCTCAAATATCTTTTGAGTCACCTGTACAACCTGAGTTCTTTACATCCCCTGTTTTATTTTCTCCATCCTGAGAAAATTATTTTTGGTGATCTCCTTTTTAATAATTATTATAATAGCAACATAGTGTTAGACAGTCACTGTAACACACTGAATTTATCATTGCTTCCATTACTGCAGCTTTCCTCTGTAATCAAACACTATCTTAAGGATTACAAAAGTAGAAAAAGGGCATATAGCAATTTCAGCACACAGATGTTATTAGTTAAGCTCACTGCAATTGTCGTAGAAAGCACCCCCTCCTCAAGCAGCAGAGGAAAACAAAGAGGGTATAGTTCCCAGGAATATGACAACTCCTGTATCCTTCTGGAAGAGAGCCAGCAAAAGCATTTGCAAGTCTGCGTGCTACAGCTTACTTGGACAGTGCACTTCTTGCAGCATTGGCTTTGTCTAAAGAACATTCCTGTGTCTCCAGGCACTTTTGTCAGCATTCAAATGAATCTATGCCAAACAAAGATGAAATTAAAATAACCAACAGCACAGTAATGCTGAGCACTGTGCACCCTATATTGGCCATATGTGAGATCTAGAAAGCAGGGGGTGTGCTCCTGTAGCATTTGCTACAGTAATGACCTCTTCTTTCTTTGGTGGTCTTTTGCTGTCTGCAGGGACAGCATGTAGGATCACCAGCAGGCCAGATATGTCATACAGGGTCCACCTGCATCTAAATCTATGAGAGAAAATGCTTTTCTGAGACACTCAGTGGTCTTTTTTTTTGTAAGAGAGGCAGCATGTGGTGGCAGATGCACAATGCTACATCTGGTGGATTGGGCAACAAAACAGAGGTAAATCAGCTGTGCACTGAGCAAACTAGATTTATCAGAGAACTCCTGGGGTGTATATTAGCCAACACAGCAAAGGAACCATGACCTGTGCCCACGCAGTGCCCACCTGATGACAGAGTACTTGCATTTACCTGAACGTACTGTACTATGTAATATTATGTGCATGCCTTGCTGCTACAGTGAGTCCTGTCCTCCCATGTCCCACCATGATGTCCCCAGATAAAAGCACAGGGTGCTGTGGAGCTACATAGGCTGGGGAAGTTAAGTTCCTCCATGCAAACACCTGCACACATGTAAAGCATGTGTTTCAACAGCCAAAGCGAGATATGCTGTTCCCTTTCTCCACTGCCCAGAATGTCTTTCCTCTGCTATTCTCTTGCTCGTAGACTCATCTAAATGCTGACCCAGACCTGCTCATTTATGCACTTTTCAGCCCACTTGAACCACCCTGGAGACCTGCTGGATGACTTGCCCTGGGAGATGCTCTGCTCGTGCTGCCTGCCATCAGGAGGAGAGCAGGACTTTTAAGTCACCAGCACCATATTCGTGCTCAGGAGCAGGTATCGTTGTGTTGCTATTCCCAAAGACTGAGCCCAGCCTGCTGTGAGCAAAGCATCCTCAAGAGCCCCGCTCCGCCCACTCCAATATGTGTCCTGCTCTGCTCTTCGCCTGCTGGGTCTCATCTGCTCTGCTTTGAAAAGAGACCTCAGGGAAAAAATAAAACTGGTGTGCTACACCTTAAGTGACCTGGAGAAGACCAGGGCTCATGAGAAGGGAGGAGAGAGCTCTACTAAGGGCAAAGTGGCCCTGCCATCTGCAGGCCCCTGGGCAAAAACATTACCTGAAAGATGTGTACGGACAATTTATGTTCCCAGAAAAGCTTGCTGGCAAAGCTCTTCCAATTTTTATGACCTCCAGTACCAGACAGATCCAAAGCAAGAACACCTTATCCTACATCAGGTGAGACTTTGCAATCCAAGGAGGATCACATCAAAGGTACGGAAAAATCTCTGCTATATATACTTATTTTTTTCCTGAAGGGGATTAATTTAGTGAGAGTGTGAAACTCATAATTCGATGCTTCCATAGTGGGGCCAGGTCTGGGGTGCACAAAAATTGCCTTGAAAGTTTAGGCTTTGGATGCCTGCTTGTGTGGGAAGGCAAGTCTTGAGGCCCTGGAGAGCCAGTGCTCCAAGCTGTTGGTTGGTCTTCTGAACTGAGCAGCAGTGATGAGCTGAGGGGCCATGCTGGGACCCCTGACCACCTCCCACCCCCAGTTGGGTATGGCTCAAGAGCAACACAGCTCCAAGCATTACATAGGGCCTGAACAATGTGCAAAGTTGCTGCCTGCACCATCAGAGAGAGTACGAGCCTCTGGCAGCTTTTGGTTCTCCAGATGTGACTTCAGCTCTGGACAAAGAAACACCTCAATAGGTAGCAGGTATGCTAGTTGTAAGCTGTAAGGTTGTAGCTAGCAAGAATGGGAAAACCTCTCTGCTTCACTTTGCAGCATATGAACTTGTGTTAGAGAAAACTTTCTGTTCTCCACTTTGGACGTGTTTCCATTTTTTTTAATGGTAGAAAGCAAACACAGAATTTTACAGCATTTTGTGTATGCGTGAAAGAGAAAAATCTTGGCACTTGGCAGTGCAGCCTTCCTGCAGGAAGCAAGTAAACAAAGCGAGATGAAGAATGTGAAAATTAAAACCCTCCCAGTTCCCACTCTCTTCTCCAGCCTGTCCTTGCTAGGATAGTACCTTTCCCCTGCCAGTTAGTAGTACTAC